TTTCTATCTTAATACATGTATAGCATACAAATCGAACGAAAAATACTTTAACCCTTTGTGCTTGAAAAAAATATTGCCTGTAATACCATATATAAAGATTGCAAAGTTACAAAAAACACACCAGAATACATCGAATGTTACAAAACGTGCGAATAAGGAATACATTTCAGGAATAGATTTTTAAATACAAAACATCAATTTTTTTCACTAAAACGTTTTTTTCCATTTATTACTTTGTTTACGCATTAATTATTAAACCGATTATAAATATTGTTTAAAAAAAAATTGATATATCATTGCCCTAAAAATCTATTCTTGAAACATTCAACGCCTATTCAACGACGCCAGTATTACGTATTATTGCAAAGAATTTAACTTACTTTTCACAGATATTCTGACTTTCTGATTTTACTCCTATCAAGTATAGTTTAGAGTTGCAAAATGTCACATTTACAAGTTACGAATTTGCCCATACAAAGTTATACACACAATAATAAATTCGTTCTCTATCTTAATTGTGATGCGCAATTCCATTACGAGTAGAATCTTGTCATGAAAAAACTGAATCTGTTTGTTATCAACCACACTTACTTTCACTTCCACTTATGCGCTGCTCGAGTACCTTCGTAACGTCCTATATCTATTTTAACGATTCAACGTTATTCACAATAATATATATATATATATATATATATATATATATATATATATATATATAATATATATATTTATATATACACACACACATACACAAACTATCCTTTTATTTATATCATGTTCACATTCGGATTGTTTTTACTGTGTAATTGTTCTTATTAATACACAATGTCTATATCTTCTAGAGCTAACTGGATATCTTTTGTCAAAATTTAGTTTTTCGTGGTGATATTTTTCTTCGATTATTCTTCTTATATTAATTGCCAACAAGTTATTAATCTTAGCTGAGCAATGAATTGTATGAGCCCAGTGATCTTCGAAAGTAACAAAAGGTAAAATTATTTGCACACTTTTGCTACATGAAATATCCCTGTCGAATAACAAATCGAGTACAAAGGGTTAATAGTTTTAAAACAGACTCCATCATAAATATAATAGTCTAACTTTTTTTGCACAGATTGCTGTATTAACGTCTAGACTTAAATTATCGAAATATTCAGAAATGACCTTAGTCATTACTGATGGTCATTTGGTCACTTTTTTCAAAATTGATAGTTCAAAGTTGAAACTCGTTTTAGCAAACGATTTGATTTGCGTAAAAGTAATCAAATAATCGGTAATATATAATCAACACATTTCAGACAGCTGTAAATCCTCTTTAATATTGCTCCCTTGTATCAAAATAATTAATAGCCGCCTAAAAACAATTTTAAACGTGTTCTTTTCATTCTTTATATTCATAAATATGCGCATCTGCTTACTTAACAGTATTATGTATCTATGTTACACTTACAAACACTTAACCGATTTTGTAAATGACATATATATTTTGGTATATATTATATAATTATATTTAAAAAGTACGAATAAAAAAAAAAAGAGAGAGTAAATCCGAAACGATCGGTATCGAACGAAACCTTTTTTTGTCATTGCAGTCAATAAAATAAATTTTTTCAAACCGATATATTTCGAAAATAATAACAGCAATATAAAAAGCTATATATAACAAAAAAAAAGGAAATGCAAATTTGAGCGTTTTTGAACTGAAAGTATTTAATCGTTTGAGTACTATAGATGGTTGTATAGATCAAAGAGTCGACTAAGCGGTCGCGCTCCTCTTGTTTCATGTCAAAAAATATCAATCGGCGATAGTGCTTCTTTTTTTTTTATCGACGCGATCGTGCCGTTCTTTTTTACATGCAAGATTTTTTTATTCGTTTTTAATAAAAATATAACGACAAAGATAAATAAAAATATACGACAAAGATCATATGAAAGCGAAAGCCTCGTTTCAGTAAATCCGCTTCGAGTTATAATGCTAACGGTAACATCAATTAAGCCTACTGGTGACATTCATGACAGATAGAAACAGCGCGATCGTGCCATATGACACTCCAATGATTATTAAAAATCGGTTAACTATTTTATACATCATAAATCTGACACATCTCGAAATAGTTTTCTATCTACTTTGAAAGCGCCTATTCATCGATTTATCTTTCGGACTTACAATCTTTGTCAAGTACTATCATTATCGCAGTATCATTCTAGTAAACTGATATAAAACTAAAATTAAGGAAACATGGCTATTTTGATTTATAGAGAGCAATATATATAAAGAACCAACACCGATCAGTCTTGAACTTGTAGTAATCAATAAAATACAATCTTATACACAGAATATATAAATATAGAAGAATAACAACTAAGATTTCCGTAATTATTGTGTATATAGTCGACAATTATAATATTAATTTATAGGCCCTTGTATGGAAAATTGATCGCAATTTAATATAGGTTGTTTCATGTTTATTATTGGATTTATCTGGGCAAACTATGCGCAAATATTCGTAATATATCTTCGTGTAAAAGATATTGTAAAAGATAAAAAGGAAAAAATTCTTTACAATCATCGTAAAAGTGCTATGTACCTTTGTAAATATTAATTGGATTAATTACCATTATATAATAATTAATTACTATTAGTTGGCAAACGTGTTCTTTCATTGCGTAGCAAATTTTCCTCCGCAAGAATTATTCAAAAATCTTTGTGACATATATTATGATATTTAATCGTCATTAAAAATTTATCAATAGCTTAGGTAATTGAAGTCTGAAGTCACTGGACCTACCTACGCAAATATTTAAAACGTAGCACATAACATAATTAAACCCAACCCCGTACAATCAAGATTGCTTGACGATACGAATATAATTGTAAATAACAACTTCTTTAATCCTTAGATATCTTCACGCTATGTTTTACAAGAAAGAGAGAGAGAGAGAGAGAGAGAGAGAGAGAAGAAATAAGAAATAAAAACAAGGTTACAAATAAATAATAAT